AGCAATTGTTAAAATACGATTACTAAATAATTTAAGAAATATACTCATGTCCGCCAATTCCAAAAATTAATATTTTGAAAAAGTTATTACGTTCCAAATTAATTTAATCAAAAATTATTTATATTTTAAAAAATTCTAAAAAATAAACTAATTGACTTAGATAAATGTTTTTACCATCAAAATTGTTCTTATAATCAGATTCACAAATTTACTATTTTGAATTTATCCAAAAAAATTTAAATCAAGTTTTAAATTTTAAATGGTCAGTATTAAAAAATAAAACAACAATCTTTACATTACACATGCAACGCCAGTGACTATAAATTATATATATAAAAACAATTTTTTAAATATTGATTGGAACAAAAGACCTGTCAGGTCTTCCTGTTACACACTGTATATTGTTAAGTAATACTTTTGTAAAATATGATTGTTTAAAATTTTTTGTTTTTTCATCTCATCATAGTATTGTACTACTTGTCTTTCAGCCCATTAACATATATTATTATAAAGAACAATGTAGTTTACTAATTACTCCTATTGTATGACTGACGTTACCAAATCTGTATACTTTGTGCAGGACTGGCTTTTAATTCATACATTAATATTTTAGTTCTCCTGCTCAATAATTTATTTTGTGTGTTATTTAAATGTGTGTGTCAATTTTATATTATTATTATTATTATTATTATACATTCCGGTCTTCCATGACTTTATTAATTATATTATAATTTTATTTATATTACTACATTATTAGCTACATTATTATAATTTATATCCTCGTAATCCAACTTCATGATGCTCATTATTTATTTACCATGAAAAAATAGACTATAAAATATTATAAAATAAATAAATAATCGATGTATAAAAGTAAAAAACGTGTTGGTTTTATTTAAAAATTATTTAAAAAAAAAATTGCCGATAAAATGTGGTCATGTGCTGTGCGCAACACGAGCAGCAGTGCCCATCAAAAAAATTGCCAAAAAAATGTGGTCACAGCTGTGCGCAACACAGCAGTGCCCATCAAAAATTGCCGAAAAAATGTGGTCATGTGCTGTGCGCAACACGAGCAGCAGTAGCCCATCGAAATAATTGGCAAAAAAATGTGGTCATGTGCTGTGCGCAACACAGCAGTGCCCATGACCGTATATGTGTGTAATTCCATCCTTGTCTAGGGGAGTGCTAACCGTCTCTCCTTTTATACAACACGATTATTGTGTGCAGTTCTCTGGTATATATACTATCAATTGTGTCAGGTACCGTAACAAGTGAGAGCGGAAGAAGGTGTTTCAGATCACTCTACGCGACGAGTACGCATTTTGCAATGTTTCCATACGCTTCTAGATAGCGTTGTATGTATCAAAAAAAAAAACCAAAGTTTTGGCCAAAAACATTCGAGCCTACGGTAAAATTGGACAAAACATAAAACATTACATATTAACCGTCATTATTCAAGTGAAATATGATAATGATGGCAGTAGAGCTATTCCGTATTCGTACATGATTATCCTCGTAATATTGTGTTATCTGACGTTTTATTTTATATTATTCAACTATGACATCATTTAAAAATGTGACGTACTGATGCGTGTTTATTTATAGAAGCGTTTATCATTTTTAAATTGCGATATTTTGACACATAACCATATTGAATATTGTAAACGTGCACTCGACAACTATTTTCATTGAAATCGTTATGGACTTGTTATAATATCTACCACTTCATAAGAAATATGAATATTATGATCTATTCGTATGACCAGTGGCAATCGCCACTTTTGATGCCACTACAGGAACGTCGAATACATATAATGAGGGCTCAGTAATTAAATTTCAATCTAAAAACAATCATTTCGCACTCAAGTTTGCTTAAGGGGATTTCACACATCCATTTTTTGGGAAAAATGCACTCATTATAATATACGCGTTCCAACGTAAGTACTGACACAGATCAAAAAGTGTACTAAGACTGAGGGCCTGTATTAAAAATTAAAATCGTTAAACTAAGGTTAGACCACCAAATTGGGTCTGTAAAATCAGTGTAGGTTAGGCTCAACCTAGGTTTAAACTACGATTGTAAAACAGGCCCTTAGTGTAATTGTAATAAGTGGCGTATTATTATTACCAGTATTTTTTTTTAAAATATTTATCAAGTTTCAACAGCAGTCGTCAACTAGTAAACTAGACGTAAATATTCATATACGCCTTACCGGAATGAATTCATTTTTCCAAAAACATTGTATTTGCATACCAACAGGCAATAACCAATTTTCCTAAAATGTATCAGTAATCTTTTGGTAAAAGTATGAACTACTCTATGAAAGACCTTGTATACATTTTTCGAGCATTACCTACACAAATTGACATACCTATTATTAGTATTATTAATTGTAAACGACAAATTAATTTTGGTTTTTTCCCGATTATTTTGAAAGTACCGAGAATATTCAATTTAGACCTCCCAAAAGTACCAACTAGATCCAATTTGCTTCTGAAAACTTCCATCGAAGTTTATGAACAGAGAATTTTTCTACTATAAGTTGAGAAGTTGAAGTTGTTCAAACATTTTCATATACCTCACCTAAACGTCTGAAATTATTAGACTGGAAAAAAAAAATAATATAAATATATTAATTTCAACCCACCCCCCCCCCTTTATTATAAAAAATTGTGCCTATGTATTTTTAATATTTTTCAACCGCTATTGTAACAATATATCAAGAGCCTTGCATTAAATTTTCACGCTTTTTTACCCAACAAATAACATTTTATTGATATTAAAACTAAAAAAATTGAAGACTGACAATATCCGCTAACAGCTCAAAAAGAGTCAAAATATTTGGAAAATGTTATGGTTGATAGAAAAAGCTAATATAAACATTCAGCCAAAATTTCATGTACTTACGGTCATTTGTTTAAGAGTTGCGACAAAAACCAAAATCGATTTTTTTTGGAAATTCCCTTTTTTCCTTAATTTTTCTTTTGTTTTTTTAAGGTGCTTTTGAAAACTACAGGAATTTTAATTTTGACCCCCCTAAAGTACCAACTAGATCACTTTCCTTTCAGAAAAGATACCGTTGAAGAAAATCTAAACACTTTTACTGTCTTAAACAGTGATGACAGACACAAAAAAATACACATCATTGTAAAATCAATACATTCAAAATCTAAAACAGTTTTAAAGATTTTTTTATTACTTGAAGGGTTCAAAATATACTTCAAATAAATTCGAATGTTTTCAAAATTGTTATAGGAGTAAAACTCAAGTCAGGAGTCCATTCTGCTCCAAAGTAAAGGGTAGAGTGGAATTCCCTTAAAATGTAATTTATAACAACCGTCAACTGTAAATATAAATTAATGATTAATATTATTATTTTAGAATTAGAGAAGTATAAACAGAGCAGTGTACAATTTAATTTTATTTGTAATCTAAATAGGGTTTATCACAAGCTATTTTACTTGCTCATTCTATTCAGAATTATCTATGGTAACAGTGCATTTGGATTCTAATTTTTTTTTATCTTTGCCTAGCAATTAATTTACCCCTTATTTTGCTGTACCCATTTTCTAGTATTCTCAGAATAGATTATTCAGTGTGTTGTCAGCATTTCATACGCAGGAATTAAAATATTATGAACTCAGAACTATAAGCACGCATTATGCATCTTGTTTTTTAAAACATAAATGAGCTCAAGTGTATAGTCTACTATCAAAGCTCTGTGTAGAATGAGCACAACTCAATAATAAGCACATAATATTTAATTTATAACATCATTATATATTTCTGTAGCTGATTATATCAATTAAAAAAAATAATAATAATAATCAATGCACAACATAGGTATTCTAATATTAAGAATGATAAAAATGTCTTGATTAATATTAGAGTTGAAACAATTAACATCTACACTATGAATACTTATTTTTTTTTTTTAATAAACTTTGGTGATTAAACAATCACTTGATGCAAAAATAAATCACATTTTACTATAACACTAAATTTTTTTTTTTAAGTAATTTTTTGGCATATTATTTTATTTTTAATTGTCAACGCTCTTTAAGATATTAGTTTTGTTAAGTTTACAATATTCATGCATGAATATAAATATTTTAAGATACTAATTTATGTATAAATTCATCAAAAAATAAAATTATAATAAACTTTAGAAAAAATAAAAACTATCGTTAGATTTATTCAATAATTATTAATAAGATATTAGTGATCACTGATCATCTATCATTTTATCTATTTAAATTGTACTTTAGACCAAGTACAGACTAAAATCAAATTAATGTGACGGATTTGAAATGTTGATTAAATCATATACAATACATTTATGTATATACAAATTAGTTATTAAAATCAAATTCATACGTTTATGTGATATGATATAATATCATATATTAATTATATCCCTAGATTATCAGTCAAGATGATATATTAAATTTTCTTTTGTTTAACATGACTATTCATGGTTAAAATAAATAACAAATTGGATAATATTTAATTATTTTTAATTAGTCGAGATATTAGGCTGAAATAAACATCAAGTTATTGCTGTAAACTTTTTTTTTTTTAACAATATCCCGTGTACCCTAGAATAATTTTTTTCAAATTCGAAAATTGACTAACTTTGCAGGCATTGTACAATTTTGGGTTAAATACATTTGCCAGAAAAAGTAGGTAAACAAATATACTCATAAATTGGTCTAAAACAAAAAAAAATTTACAATAATATTTAGTAATAATAATAATAATAATCAAAATATTTTATACATATAAATGTTTCTATACACTTCTATAATGGAAATTAATTGTAATAATTACAAATCAATAGTCCTACATAATCATACACTTACACTTATACAAATGATACAATTTTCAATATAATATACTCAAAAAAATAGAATGTACATAATCAATGAACACTTTATTCAATAATAATCTATTACCCCCGTATCAACGGGATGTGTATATATTTTTGCAGTGATTAGTATCAGTCTGTTTTGGCCATTTTGGCTCGCAGTTTAGCATGGACCTGTAGAAATTCTGGTTTATCATCGTCCTTTTCTTTTGCATCAGTTTTTTCCATTTGCTACAAATCAAAATAAAACATACTATTAGTGTCATAAAATATTTCCATCTCAAAAATATTTAAATATTGAATTTTTTGTTTTTGAAAGTCGTACAATATGTAATTTATATTTTATTACGCTTTACATATCATTGACTTAGCTTCATTATAGTAATACTATGTACCCCACCCACATTGGACATAATAAGGTTGAATTTTTTTTTTTTTTATGGAGGGCGTGGGGTTAGCATTATCCAAAGTGCCCGCACTCCGATTATTACAGTCGATTTTCAATAAGTCGAATAAAAATAAATTTGACTTGTGTATTTACCTAACCTCAAACACGACTTGACTTAAAAAAATACTACAAGTGGCAAAAAAAGAGTCGAGTTACCCAGACTCGACTCTATTTACATGGTCAACGGATGTACAAACAATATCATTTAGGGGGGGGGGAGGGAGATAGTATACCTAATATTGAAATATCTGTTCTGGCTAGAACTCCGGAATTTCTCGATGTCCCTGTCCACCTACAAGTAGCGCCGTTATATAATATATATCGAAAATTTCAGCTTTCGGGTTGTACTAAGACATTATATTAAATCCTAAGATTCATTTCGAATGACACGGGTTATTCGTCATGATTGAAAAAAATGGTCTAAAATAGGGATAAAATATACTGGCAAAATACGATCAGAAGTTACACAATTTCGGACTCTTGGTAACATTTTTATGAGAGAAAATATCAATGTATACAAATTGTCTGTACATAATATATTATTGCAATACGATTTGCGGTTAAGCCTCGATGTTAAGTGGTGTATATCGAATTTCTAAAGCAGTGCGCGACGCGGGTCAAATCATTATTATTATTTAAATATTCTCGCGGTTTGGCATACCTACAAGGTTTAAAAATATGTCTATAGAAATCCATATATATATATATATATATATATATTACGTACTTTTCCCTCTCGAGATACTTTTCTATGAATCTATTTCCCGAGTTCCCCGTCCGTTTATTCACAAAAAAGTGTATAACAATAATATTAGTTCAACTATTAGCTATTCGGCTGTACAACCGACGATTTTTTAATATCGAAAACGTTGGAAAATCTAGCGTATTTTTTTTTCCGCCAGTAATATGAATGCATCTTTTATTTTCTCTATTTTTTATTTCTACACGGTTCGGCACCGGTGAACACAAAAATGACACCATCAATTTTCTATTGCCAACCTAAAATACTAATGAAATGTTTTACATAATATATATACATATTTAAAACACCCGTAAGTATATCGAATACCGAAATGTACGTTTTTTAATACATTGAGCCCAGGCCCACGGTTACTGTAAATAAATAAATATTTTATATAATATACGATATATAGAGTTAATATAGGTCCTAAATATAATGTACCTATATACATTGAAGAATATTGAGTAGATACATAACAGAGACACAGCAGGTATATCGGTTTTAAATTTTAGTACAAACAGATAATAATAATAATAATTTATCGTCGATGTATTAAAACGTACTTAAATTATAATTACAGCGTAATAATATATACACAAATTGATGTACGTGTACTTGAAGTGTTGAAAGGCACTTAAAAGTGAAGTGGTATATATTATAATTAAGCTTATGAGTTCGTTACAGTTTGTGTACAAAGTTATATAGCAGACCTGCCGTCATGACGTGGTTATAATATAGAATTTGAAGTACAAAAAAGATCAAACTTCTAGTAAAATTTAGTCATTGTTATTATTATAATTACCTATTTAAAACACAAGTCAGCCATAATTAAAAAAAACTATTGAACATAGTAAGTTATATGGTTTAAATGTTACATATTGCCTAGGTCGTAGGTATGACATAATATTATAATTATTTATGAAGAATCGTGTATTTTTATATAACATAATAATATAGTTATGTTTTTTATGTCGTTTCAAAAAACAGTATCATTATATATTTACACATATTATACCATATATTACATACCATAGGTAATGTAAAATATTCCGGTCGTTGAGAATAAAATAAAATAATAAAATAGTAAAAATACCGTTTCGATTTTTTTGGCCCGCTCTTCAATCATTCGTTCGAATGGTGTGCGGCAAGAGTTCTTTTGTTGTTCGATCTCCTTCTGATTTTGCGTTCGCTTGTGTTTCTCCAGCGCTTTTTGCAATTCTGATTTTTGTCCCAGAACATTTTTTCCGCTAAAATGTCAATCAAGTCTTATAAAAAATCAAAAAATATTTTAAACGCCTAAAATATACATTTTTTGATTGAATAAGAGTTCTCGATGAAGGTTTTGATGATCGGCGGAGGTCAGGCATGGGTTGGCCGGCTTCCGTGGTAGGATTAGTCCATCCTGGTGCATGTCTCTCGTGCAATCAGTTGCCATTGTCATATCTGAATAATACAACACACATGGTCATAATTAATAACGAATAAAACAAAGCAAAATGTGTTTTTACAGAATTACATAATATAATTGTCACAATAGTTATTAATTATTTAGAAAAAATACACATGTTCAGTAATAAAATAAATCCTACAGAACGTACAGACATGGTTATCGATACTGGGAATTGATTTATGTTGAATTAAAAAAATATTAATTTGGTAAAACCATATTATATTTTATTCACCTAATGTACGAGTATTAGCTAGTGTAGATTATTATACAAATCAACAATTAGTTCGGTGACCCCATAACTACACAAAGTTTAACTTTTAATATAATCACTGCAAAAATTTATAAAATAATAATTTTATATTAGGTACTTCCTTTCAAAATCCGAGCATATTTCCAAGTTAGTCACGCCGGCTTTGGATTGATAATATAATATATAGGTATAATGTGGTCACGGACTAAGATATCTTAGTTCGTGGATGTGATATATAAAATTATAATAATGATTGTGATTGTTGTAATTTATGATTATACATTACCACTTTAAAGAGGCTAACCACCTATCACACATTTTTGTCGTTTGCTCAGAAATTGGCTTTTTCAACTTCTGTTAATAGTTTATAAAACCGAAAGAGTGGTGTGATGATAATCTAGTAATTATTTTTATTTTATCTTTTTTTTCAGAATGTTTTATATAAAGAAAAAAAAATCATAAAACCAACAAGGCTTTTGAAGTTTACAATAATATGTTAAATAGGTAAATTTAATTTTAAATTTTTTATAATACGATTATACACGCAATCAGTTTAATTCGCAATAATTTAAGTAGATTTACTAAAAAAAAAATACTAACATACATACTTTGTACATTTTGGCTTATTTTACAACTAATCTGCGTGCCAATGATGTGATTTATGATATTTCTACAGCACATTAACCTAGTTTCTTTTACTAAAAAATACACTCCTGAAATCAATAGCTTTCCTGTACCTGCTCAGAATATAAAACGCACCGACCTAAGTAAATATTAAATGTTTAATCTTACATCATAGAATTAATTTAATTTCCCTGAACGTAACCCGGGCAATCAATTTTTATAAACCCAAAATGTATTTGTATAGAATGACAATTATTAAAATAGCGTCATTACAAAACATTCAGCATTGTGTCAATTATTAATGATTTGATTGAAGTATATTGCGGTCATGCGGGTAGAACTCCTCATATTAATTGTTAACATATTATGCCAAAGCTCGCTTGCCACTTCGAATGTTCGTTCTGACTTTTTGAGTATATTTTGAGACCTACCATAGGTCCATGAATGATAAGAACACCACTTTAAGTTGGCCCTTGTATAAAAGCTGACAGTAGCAGTACGACCTTTTGTGTAAGATAATTCACCAAGATTCATAATCGACACGTTTCTATTAGTTTATAAAGAAGTTTGAAATTATAATAAAAAAGGCAAACATCATGATAACTTAAAAATAAATTAAAATTAAATAACGACGATTCAACGAAATGAATACTAACACGAGAAACATTTTTTTTAGATGAGAATTAACTGACATCACGAAGACTTGAGAATAGTATTTTGCAGTAATAAGTTTACATTTTCAATTTGTTGTACATACAATTTTTTTTGACAACTGTAACTATTAAGTTAAATTACACTCAATTTTGTACACACCAAGAATAATTGTGCAGACCCTATAATGTTGTTATTTAGAGTTTAGAAGTTATTACGGTACAATTTATAAATTATAATGTATAATATAGGTTATACCATTTGTAAGTGTTCATGGTTTCCTTATTTATAAATTAATTGTACCTACTGACGTAGTGACGTATTTAATAGTAACATATATAGTATATACATATTACACATTAGTAATTATTACATTGTTAAGTGTTAACATAATTTATAAGAATTAGAAGGCACAAGCCACAAACTATATAATTGTAAAATAAAATTATACGTATAAGGTCGTTAAAAACATAAGCGATTTATAAAAACATGACGCCGGTTATGGCGGTTACCGCTAGGCGGTAATTTTAATATACCCATAAAATATTGTTTACTTTACAAAAAAACTTATGTAGATGTATTTTAGTTGCCTGCAGAGGGAACTAAGAGGAAAGCAACCCACCTCAAAGTGTTAGGAAAATGTAAAAAATGCTTTCAGTGTTCTGTGAACGTATTAGGTAAGTATTATATATTTATATATTGTATAAAAATTGTAATCTGTATGAGGGTTGCTGCAAAAGTCTAAAATTATATGGTCAAGGCATCAGCATACCAAACTTAAAAAGGGTTTTATAGTTAAGTCCCATTATCAACCCCCCCCCCCCCTAAAAAACAAATCAAAATTAACAATACATATTTTATATATTATATTATAGATATATAATAAAGTTGATTTAAATTTATCATGATTATATTATTTATTTAATTTATATATAATTTATAGATCTATGTATCACTCACAATAATTAATAATGATAACATATAGAAGACATTTTGTAAAATGTTAAACGTAAATGATACAATTTTTTATGTTACAATTAAAATGAAACTTGGCCTGACTTAGTAAGTAACGTGTAAACAAAAGTTTGACATTGGTTGAATGTGTACTGTATAATATTTATTGCCCATCTGTTACACATTTAGAAATAACCCACTATACCGAGTGTTGTAAATTGTTCATTTTAGTAATTTGTAAAAATGATATGCATGGAACGCGAAGTATAAATATTCACGAGTTTCAATTGTTTTAAATGGAATTGTTCATCAAATATTAATAACTGCACAACATTTTATATGTGCGAGGTTGAGAGGAGACATATTTTTTTTATGTTCAAAGGGTTTATATTGAAGTAGGAAGGCGTGAAAGGAAAAATGCAAATAGCGTTTCACCGTAGAGGATCCTTGCTCTAGTCTTGTTGAATTTCTAAGGAATATTAATTGGTATATAATAGTAATATATATATATATTTCTATTATAATTACTGCAGAGAAAACTATTTGTCGTGCGAAATTAATTATTAAAATAACCTATTTGTTTTTACATAGAATAAAGATACTTTAAAGTAGTAAAAAAACAAAACCCGCCCTATTTAATTAATTTAAAAGTTATTATTTTTATTTTATTAAAATAATAAATGTTCAATATTACGAAATAATAAATGAACGGGTAGATATTGTACACGGATAATTTATTATAGGACCAGATCTAAACGACGTGAATTAAGCGTCCAGTGGGCAGTGACACAACTTCAAAAACACGAACTTTGGACTTTTTATAAAGTACTTCATCTTGAGATTTAAATTGAAAAAATTTAAGTATAGGATAATATCAATATAAACAACAATAACACGCTCAATTAAAAACTAGGTATATTATAAAAGTTTATTTCGCATAAAATATAACGTATTTTTTAATTACGTTTGACTTTCGATCCTATAACTTTTTACTCACTATATAGTTATTATTTTATTAATTACTAATATTAACTACTAATTAGTAATTAGTAGTTAAAATGCACCAAATGTCCAAATAGTAGTACTTTAGAACTTCTGCCTAGTCTACTCGTCAATCGTGTATTATACTATATAGGTATAGTACCAAATATGTGCTTAGTATATAATTATAATAATAATAATAATCAACAAAGAACTTTTTCAAAAGGCATTTGTATCGTTTGCCGATATCAATAATAAATATATATGATGATATGACACATTTTCTCTTTCTATATTCACCATTATAAGGTTTAAGTGGCACAAACACATTTATGTCATTCTGAAGATTTATTGTAAGAACAATAACAGTATAGGTTGATACCTTCATCGTGCACTACTTGTTGCTGTTCGGTTGGTCTATACAACTGCTGATACGCAAAACTGTCACTTTAGGAAATGGTGGAAATACTTTGCAGCGTTCTTATCGGGATAGCACATTGCACATAATATACAAAACACGTACCTACGCATAGACATATACCTAAACCTAACTGTCGTATACCTATGAGGTATTTTCTACATGTATATTATGTATTTATGTGAGTGTCCATATACATATGCCTAAGGCTATTTATGTGTGTGTAAATATAAGAGGGTACAAATACTACAAGATTTTCGGTTTTCTAGGCTAAGATGATGTGTCTGAAATTTATATGGACGGGCGCGACACGAAAAAATAATAACGGTTTTAACTATGCGGCCACTCCTCTCTCATGAAAAAAAAATATAATATTTAAACACTTCTGTTAGAATTCGAGTGGAAATTATAATCGGGTAACAGGTAACAAGCAGTTATTTAAGTAATTAAAGTAATAACTAGAAGGTGTTGAATACATAATAAAATCAATAATAACTATGTAGGTTTTAATTATTTTGTCACATTTTTTTATGAATATTTCTTTTAAAAATTAGAAGTTTTAATTTTAAGTTTTTTAATTTATTGCGAAAGTATATTAAATTATTATGATTATGTCAGTGGTACGAGCGTTTATATTGTTTAAATCTCATGCTCCAAATATATAAATTTTTTTCAGTTTGACCTTTGAGGCTCAAAAATGTAAGTACTTATAGTTAATTATAAATCAATTATTTCATAAATGTTTAAATTTAGTAAATTTAGTCGCTAGCGTTTATTAATATTATCTTTTCAAATCTAACCTTTTACCTTAATAATAAAAGTGTAGGTATACCTAACCAGTAACCTATATGTCCTATATGAATGATGATGAAATAAATTATATACATATAATTATATAAAACACAATGTTATGTTATAGAAAATCAAAGAATAAATAAAATTATATTATTCCATATAATTGTTTTTCTTTAAATAATTAAATCCCTCTCATGAATAATTGTACAAGAAAATAAGCTTTATATAAAGTACGACAAGATATCCTTTATTTGAATTCATAAATATATCTTTAAAATAGTTTATTATTATGTATCTTTAGTTTAAATAGATTACGTTGCATAATAAATTATATTTTGTAATATTATGCCATTGTCGTATAGCCTGTTGAGTATACAATAAATAAATATAAATAGGTACATGATTATATATAGTATGGTAATATAAACATAATTAGTTTAGTGAGTATGAAATTTTAAATTTAAAAAATATTTTCACTTTTTAACCATACACATTACACATACACTAATGTGTACAAACATTCTACTTTGCATACTGTACACTCAATCTGCAGAATGATTCGCTTGAACTTTAAAGGGAGGCATTTTTCCGCATCATACTATGTCCAGAGAAAGGCTGGTAAGTAACGGTGGCTTTTAAGTTTAAAACTGTGCAGTACGAAAAGTCGGGGGGGAAATAGCCATGGTTATTATGGTATTGTTTGACTACAGTGGATAATGAATCTACCGATAACCGAAACTATAGTCGTAATGTCGTTATTCATTCTACCCGAGTCTAAAACGTGTATATTCATAGTTAGTGCAATGTGCAAACGAATATAATATACATTTCGTATATTTTGTGAATATACCATATTTACGCGAATTTCACTCACGTGTTTCCGGGGAAAGAAACGTCTACGGCAACATGCGAGATTCAGCACCACCACACGCAATAAATAATAATACGATATTGCTGATTTAATATAATGTATATTATAGTAGAAAGCAAGTATTACAATATATATGTATATACGTTGTCTCCTGCAAAAGGGAATACTACGCGTCGTAATAACCGCCAATCGCCATTATAGTTGACATCCCCCCGGCCTTGGAACGACCTAGGGGTCAGAGCGCGCGAGGTCAAGAAACCCGTTCTTCTGAAATCCAATTAATACATTGGTTACCTACCTACGACGTGTATAATGCCTTTCGAACACAAAATACTATCAATTATTACATTCTGTGATACTATATACAGGAAGTTTTCTCACGAATACAACACGACTGCAGTATACGCACGTCACAACCCGCAATCGATCATATCATTCGTCTCGGTCATTGTTTCAAACGCGTACGTGCGATTCTCACGTGTTGATATTATTCAATTTGCGATGGCACTACATATTATTATATTAATATTATTTTATAATACGCCGCAATCGCAACCTACGATACGCAACTCAACACGGCGGCGGTATCTATTCATTTTTTTTAGGAAATAAACGTTTGTTCGATCGCGTACGCGTCGGTCGTACAATATTATCATTATAGTGGCACGGACACAAGTCGGTCACGATCGTCCGAGTGACCTACAATTGCGGCCGTCCTAGTGTCAAAGATAACGTGTTTACATTATTGTACCTATATTGTAGATTTTTCATTGTTCGGCACGTCTATTATAGTGTGTATATTATTTATTTATTTATATATATATATATGGTATAATGTCTATCTATATATATTATAAATGAGTAAATATATATAATACCTATGTATTATTATCTACGTGTAAATATATATAATACATAATATATTCTATGTATAAGGGGCAACGAAATAAATCGGCGCAACAAATGGGTTCCGTTTACGATTCACCGATGAATTACACGCAGAGAAACCGGAAACTAAATCGATTGGCATACTATACTAATATACTGTAATATTATAATGATCCGATTCATACTATATTAAATCGTATTAATGAATAAAAATAGAGTTCTAGCTCATTGTATTAGCGGAAAAAAAAAGTACGAGAAACTCTGAAACACGTTCATTCATCCGACACCCAGACGAGCAAATGCAATAGACTTTATGCATAACTCACGTTTCTATTGTACATTTATTTGTATAATAAAATAATATAAACAAGTCGATTGGAAAGTCTTTCACTTGGACCACGATTATTATATATAAAAACTAATAATATTTAAAATACACATGTGCTTGAGATTCTTTGTGAAGAATTTTATTGTTCTTCGTTTTTTTTTTTTTATATTATCATTTATCAATGTTTTTTTGTTTACAAATAATAAATATCTTAAACATGTGTCATTATTTCCGACATTATTTGTAAACCAACGAAGGAGAATAAATTAGTATGAACTCTTGTCACATGAATCATAGAACAACAATGATATCTTAATTTAAAATAAAAATATAACCCTTGGCAGCAGTGGACATTGCATTTTCATGGGATAGATTTACCTACTCTTATTATATTTATTAATATATACATTTAATATAGGTATGTATATATATGATGTATTACAAAAACCAAAAAGGAATTGGTAAAAACAAGTATGGCAATATAATATACATATTATTTTAGTATAATATAATTACTATACAATATATTATAGGGATCTATTATCTATATTCCTATATATTATAATATAAAAAAATAATTTACAACTAATTTGACAAGTTATCGTGTGGTAGGTATACTAGTAAAAAACAAAACTAAACACACTCTCGAGATAAAACTGTAACGATATAAAAAAAACCCGTATGGTTCAGTGATGGTGTCATAAATCATAATGTGTGTTTATTGAAGAATATGAAAGTTGGTTACTGTCCTGGATTAAAGTCCTTTACTAAAGTTTAGAACCTTAACTAATAATAGCGTAGAGTGTAGGCATATTGTGTTTAAAATAATGTGTGAATATTTAAATATAATTAATATAATATTTGATTTAAGATTAATCTTAGATTAGACTACTGCACACTGTACACGTAACTGTATAAGTCAATAACTATATCAATAGTTATTAATTTTGTCTTAAAAATTATTTAAATACTTAACGACCTCACTGAAAATATTGGCGGATACAGCAATTTATAATTAAATAAAAATCATTCATAACTACAACTAAAATGAATTGAATAATTTTAATAATTAATACCTAAATACCTACTATAAAGTATAAAATATGGACGAAGGACGTTTATGAAAATATAATCTCAATGAGAATGTAATTTAATACACTATACACTATACAGTGTAGAATAAAATAGGTAGGTATAGTGGTTAATAACATAACACCGCTACGGTTAGTAACCATTATGAATTAATTAATTCGATATGTAATAACAGTTATTAAATGACTGAATAGAATAATAAAATATTTTTTATTTATTGATTCAAAAACCCAATGGTTATTGCATTAAATACGCAAATAAATGTATATTATTCGTACCATTTATTTGCTTTTCGATAATTTTATTTGCAAAGTAAATCTGAAATCAAATATCACAATTTTACACACGTCTAAACAGTATAAATTAGAGGACTAGAGCCGTCTTGAGGAGTTGTAAACGATTTCAAATAATCTATTTATCCTATCAATATTATACATGTTCACTTAACACAGTTGTATTTTGAAGACAAAAAAACTGCAGTATTTCACTATAGGCCAATCATTTATTTTAAAACTAAAGAATTAAATCAATTTCAAATTACAAACTGTTACACTAAACACAGACTGTGTCTGCTCTTAAAATCGATTTCTGTATGAATAAGTTACCATTGAATTTAAATTTAATATGTTCATCAGAATGTCTACCCTATTCATTGAATAATGATGGGATAAGCTCGAAATGTTCTATACAGCAGAGCGATTTTTCCGGTTTTTTCAATCGAACTATAACAATTACTTTTACTTAAACAATTTACTATCTTTATTCTTTATATTTTAACTTAACATTAATAATAATAACTAATCTATAAATATAAAATTCAAATACCACTTAGTCACTGATCGCTGTAACTCAAAAACTACGCAACGTACGAACTTGAAATTTGGAATAGAGGTTTTTCTCATATTTTCACCGTGCAATAAGAAAGGATTTGCCGAAATTCGCATTTTAAATAGGTGCTCAAACGAGGGACATTTTATTTTTATTTAATAAGAGTTGCCATTAGTTACAGTCTACAGTAGAAATTAGTATTTATTTATTATTGGTTGCCGTTGGTTATTCTGGCAGATCAGGTACAAGCTTGCATCAAATCGAATTATTGAACATTGCCTACCAGGGTGGCTGAGTTGCCCTTACCTCTGAAAGTTACACCCAAAAGGAGTTTTTTAACAACAATAATTTTTTTAAGAGTTTGATTTTTTACGGGCAACGAAGTGCACGGGTTCAGCTAGTAATTTAATAATTATAGGTATAGTTTTTTATTTACTTACTGTTTAATTGATTGAGTTGATGTTTTTGCCCATCGAGAGTCTTGTTATTTGCCTGCAAAAAAAATATATTCATGAAAAAACTCATTTGGTTTAAATTAAGACATACCCAATGTGTCATTGTGTTCATAAAATATTTGGGTTTTTAAAAAATGTTATGCATAAATGTAATTTTTTTAGTTTATTAATTTTGATTTATTATTCATTTATTTCAGTAGTAACCATGGTATAAAACATTAAAAATAATAAATATTACTTATTTTTATTTTTAAATTACATGCATCAATCCACGTGGACCATGGGATTTTAAATACAAGTCGATTGTTTATTATATATAGGTAATAAAATATTAATGTAATTAATTATTTGGTTATAAATGTGAGATCATTAAGTAGATTAACTATTTTCAGCTGATTGTTTTATGTTAAATACATTTTTATAACCATTTTAATTTTTATGAAAATAGCAAATACAAACTTTACATTTTTATTAAAATTTATAAATAATAATTCACATTAATGTAACCACGATGCAGATAAAAACTACAGACTTTAAATGGGGTGACCATTCAATAACAGCACCTTCTATTTGATAACACCATATTCGTTAATTTAAGTAATTAAGAATTATAACTTAGCGATTACTGATTGGATTTTAATTTTTTTTCATTAAAAAGCATCATATTTGCCATTTTCTTAATAGTCGTTTCAGATGAGTTACTTGGCATAATATCTTATGACACCTAAAATATAATTGGGTTCTCAAAAGAATAAGATATTTAAATCCTTTTTGGACTTTAGCATTGTGAAGTTTACTAGTTACCTACTATAATCTTAGGGATTTCTAAAATCCTTGCAGTGTACAATGAACAAAAGTCTTGTGTATCAAACCATAATTTCTCAACGATTACTCAAAAAGCATAATATACAAATATATAAAAGTTGTTAGTTCCTAGAGTTATCTATGACTTATCACTTATGAGAGAACTAGGTTTCAACTAAATTAATTAAAATTTAAATCATATTATGATTCTTGAAATCATAAAAACAATATATTACTAAACACGGTTTATAATTATGTAAAATGTGTGCATAAAAATATTTAAGTAATAAGTTATAACTAATTTTTAAATTTAAATTTTACTCCTATTTTGATTGAAGTCTGCTTGACTCTATTGTCATAACATTGACAAACAGAATTATTTCCTTAAAAATAACATAAATAATAAATAATAAAATTATGAGCGATATTGATAAGTGTTCATGTACATTATAATCTTTCAAATGTACCAATCAGATAATTGCTTACTAGGAAAAAAGCAATTATAATATTATTACTTTTTATTGATGTGCAACTAATTATTCAAAACAATAAATTCAAAACTGTAAATTAAATAACTAAAACATAAAATGTGTATTAGCTTGCAACTTATTGTATTATTATAACGTTATTTTTTTACGAGATAATTTTGTTATCTGCCAGTTCTTACGATAATATAACTATCATAAAGTAATTTTTATTCATGTTCATTATTTTGTACGGAATTGTCATTTATTTACTTACAGACCTATATGGCTATATGTCTGTAATACATCAATATAAATGAATAATCCGGTAATAATCACTGTAATTTATAAAGGAATAGTTATTAAATTATTAAATTTAGCTGTTTTTAATAATTTTCTAATACATAACATTAAGTTTTGTTTAAAGTTTTTAATTAATTAACAAATAAAAACTTTATTTTAAGTATAAAAGTTAATTTATATTTGAAGATAATTTTAATTTTGCTATATTAAATATTAAATAGCTACATTTTTTAAAAATATTCAAAAATATTAAGTGTATAAGTGCTGTTCCCCACTAATGAATTTTACCCCTCTCCATGATAGATATATACATTTTCATGTACACTTGATACAACATATTCCATTTAATTTCCATATTTAGAAAGACGCGTTTATGCTTGAGTATGGGATATCAATGTTATTAAAATGGAACTTGAGCTTAAAATACACATATAGCCATATAAGGGCAATACCTATAATAATAATAATAATACAAAATACATACAATTTTATATTGATAATTATTGACATTATTAAATTAAGAGTATCATGCAGATACAATATCGTATGATAGTGATTAGGTAATGTAAGAGATAATGTATAATAAAATAGTAGTCAAATTCAAAAATAAAAATTTGAAAGTTGTCAGTTGAACGTTATTTGATAGTACCGGTCCATCCGGGTTGTAACGCGGTACCATTCAGGGCAAGTGATTAAATTGTAAATAGTAAATAAAAAAATAGAAGAGGGGCAAACTCCATATACGCAAGACTTAAAACACTTTTTATTGTCTGAAACCCGTTTCATTACAGATTGAAGTTTTTTTTACGCATCTAGTTCTAAACAAAATCACACGTGATGAAGGGGAAAAAACCATAACATCCGTTGCCTGTAGTGATAAGTCCAATAACAAAAGTAACAGTAATGTAGTAGGGGAGAAAAACCGGATATTAAAATTATAATAATAATATAATATAATGTTCGTGCATATGCAGCGAATTATTTACTACTCACGAAGATTAGATAACAATCGTATATACATACATAATCACTTGCAATCTCGCTTGCGATGTACTTCTATATATGTAACTAAATTATTTATTATTAAAAAATGGTCGTCGGATGACACTTATTTTCTACCACGCACGTTTAAAAGTATTATGTAACACGACTGATATACTACCATAATATATAGGTATATATTTCGTATGAAAAAGTATAATATAATACAAGCTACAACCATAATTATTTGGGTTTGGGTAGAATACGATTGCGGTTCGGTGCTTATTGGTAACATATTCTTCATGATACGATTCTGTACATTAAATTAATTTAATTCTTTTGAAATTTTGTTTCATGATGCCAAATTTTACAAAATATGATTTAATATTATAAATGTATAATACTATAATGTACAAATTAAATACATCTATATATGACAAAAAACGCCAAACGATTCAGACAGCTTCCATAAAATGTTCAACGGTCAATCATAATGCTCATACACCAATACATAAATTATTATATGTATTAATGGTCAATGGAGATGTTATGTTGAAAAAAAGGTAAAAATGTGTTCATTTCAAGAGGTAAAAAAATGGTTCTACCTATCTGATTTAATATGTAATCGGAAATACTTAACCATTTTACCGACTTGTTTGAAAAGATAATAAATAGGGATAAATAATGAATAATGATATACAAGTAATATATTATGTAAAGCAATATTTGTAAAAATGATATAAATAAAAATATTTTTTAGAATTATTAGACAAATAATACATCCCACAGATCCTACTAAGTGACAGGTGTAATAAACTAATAACATTAAATCTGTATTGAATACATATTAGAGTTAATAGTTAATAACTCAGATTTCTAAAAAACAAAATTATAGTGTACCTATCTAGTACTATATACACTGTAGATTGTAGAAACCTACTTAATTTAATTTAAAAACTCGTTTTATCGGATACTTATGTATTTTTTTGTGTCAATATCTAAAATTTAATTAAAAATTATTACAACTAAAGTAGGTATAAGTGTATAACTTAAAAAATAGAAAATCAAATTTTTGACATAGGCGTTTCAACATAATATCAATAATATTATTAAATTACATTAGGGGGATTCGATACTGTGATGTTCTGTCTTTTTCTATAACACACGCTCGTCGCTCGACATAGGATTTTAGACGCTGTGTTTTTTGCCAAACGTACCTATTGACCTAATGAAGCGAATAAGCGATAAGAATTTTAAAAACAGATTTGAATTTGTGGTTAAAACTACTAATTGAGATCGACTTTCTTACATATTTAATATCATCCCCTAAAATCGATTGTATATAAAAAATATTGTCATATTTCAAATATAATGAAGAAGTTAAAATCAAAAAATCAATAATGTGGGAAAGATTATCTCAAGTAGACTTGACGACAAATTCATATCTATTTTCAGAATTCTTATCGCTTCACTATATCAATCGGTATGTTTGGCAAAGAACACGTCTAAAATCATAATATGTAGCGCGTGTGTTAGACAAGAGTACAAGACAGAAATCATGTTAAGAATCTCATTAACGGATACCCAAATAAAAATTATTTTAAAAAGTATTCAAATTTAAAACTCATTTAATGTTTTTACAAAGTAGTAAGTAGGTAATGAACAATATATTAATGATGAATGGTCGAATGGATGATCTTAGACATTTAAAAAACTTACCATTGCGATTGCTGAAATATCTAGTACCTATCTCCTCATACGTTGTAAATATAAATAAAGCACTAAGTTGTAATGCCTAATGAAGTATAATCAATTTAATATGAAAAAGGTAATTCAAATGTCATTGATTATGAAATTTTGAATGTTCACAATAAACCAGACAGGAAAAATAATTTAGCTGGTACACGGGTCCCGTGCGACTCGTGAGAGTAGTTACTCAATTACTCCTATAGCAAATACGTTTTGAAATGTGTTTCCCATAATTATTACGATTTACGATGCAATTTTAAAGGTTTTTCAAGGTTGCTGTGTATTATCGAAGTCACACCCACATGTTTTCAACATAAGTAAACATAAAACATCACTTGAACCGTACATAAAAACAAACAAGCTACCGCAGTATATGATACATAATTGTTCTAGCGACTAGCAGATAAAATGCCATGATATCCGAGACATGAAAAAAAACTTATCCAAACGATCACTGCGACATAATACCATATAATACTCCCTGTCTCCTTACATATTATATAACAAATAACAATATAATGTTTTATTATTAGAATTTAGAGTATACTATAACGACTATAGGGTGGTAATAATAATGATTATCGTTGGTCAATTAAAAAAAGGTTATCGTGGTGTAAGAAGTCTATACATGTCGTACAGAGTAAAGGGCACATGAATTGTGTCGGTAATAATTTAGTGTAGGTACTATTGCAAATACTTAACGACGAAGACCAAATAATTTTCTAAAAGGTCGAAAATGAAAAGGTTGATACCTATTTCTACATATTGTAATATTTAAAAATGTTCTATTCAAATTTCAAACAATAAGAAAATAGGTAGACATGTTTGTTATTTTATACCAAGCGGAAAAAAAGGCTCATTTCCCACCTAAATTATTTCCACTAGCCTAGCCACCATGAACCGCCGACGTCGTAAAAACAATTAACACCCATTAGTCATTTCGATTACGAACAATTAAATATTATACATTTTGAAGTGTTCTAAAGTAACAATAATACGTGTGGGTAGAGGTACATCACGAGTCACGACAATAATATAAGACGACAAACAATAATACTCACGTTTGAGATAAAGAACAGTTTGAAATATTACCTATTTACTATGGGGCTGTAATAGGTACTGCGGAACTATGGTCGTATGGAATTCAAGGAATTTAGATTAGAAATAAATGTATTTTTAAACACTATAACGATTATTATTTTCATTATCCCAACGATTATGTAAGACCACATAAGGACATGCGGTTTTTCTGATCATCACTCGTTATTTCCACGCGGTACAGGTTATAAGATCAAACGGATTACAGACGGATAAGGTATTGTATTTACTATTTATTCGTCCGTGTGCAATATCATAATCTACAGGACATCGAAACGGTCGTCAGAACAGTTTTCGAAATTTTTTTTTTCACAGTCTCACAATAACAATAATACTTGGCGACATATTTGGAGTACGATACACTAACACGTCTTAGAGGCACATCATAAAGATATATTAATATCGTGGAATTATTTTGTATAGACGTATAATATTTACTTACGAATTATGATTACACCTGCCCCCCAAGTGTGGCGAGCGGTGTGCGTCGTGGAATTCTGTTATTAAACGAGTGAAAACCGGTTTATGCACACTGGTCCGTGGACAATCACAACAATAACAATAATATCACGCCGGTGGTTGGTCCGGGGGTAACAATTCACCGCGGTTTTCTCCGGACTTGAGGGGTGGCTGCAGCGATTGGGATATTTCGAAAAGACGAGAACGTCGGTGCTCCGGCGAGTGGAGCGATCGTCTGTCCGGTGACTTGGCAGTTGTCGAATGCGTGCCGTCGGCGAACGCACAACACTTCGGTAAGGAGGTAAACGGGGGATCGACGACTGAGACGCCGAGTGGATGACGGAGAGCAGCAGGACGGCAGCACGCGACCGGACGACACGAGAACTGAACGATCACTGTGCCATCTGCCGACCGTTTGCGGGAAACTGCGACGATAATATCCGTGCGTCGGTGTTGAGCGGTCGGTGACGGCGGCGGGAGACCAGCCGGTGGGGGCGACCTTGAAAGGGACTGCAAGTGGTGCGCCCAGGAAACGTGCTCCCGCCCGCCGCCCATCACTCTTTCAATAATATATATAACATTATTTTATTAAGTGTGTCAGTCATCCCTTTTCGCCGAATTCCCACGCCGCCGCTCGGCGCTCACCGACGACGCCGGCGACCTCGACAGTACCGAACGTGCACCAAGTCGAGCCACATAGACGCGCCCACAACAGCGGTGGCGTGTCAAGATTTCGTACGTTTATAGAACGAAAATAATACTGTGTACACTGTACGCGACTTTATTATTATAGATGTGACACTGCATGTGCTACGTCATTACTCATTTACTACCCACAGGGTACAATGACTGTTGGTTTAATTTTAATAAAGACGAATCGTGAAGACGGTAGGCGTCTATATACCGACAGCGATTTTGGCGAAAATATTGTATGTTCGACGAACGCTAATTATATTACATGATATTATGTTTTACTTTTTCTACGATTTTTATATCATACTTTATGCTATAATAATTGTATTATATTGGGCTTTGACGTTGTTTTTGTGGTTCAACAAAAATACAAATCTATTTGAATCCGTTTCATTTATACCCAGAAGGACTGTTTTTGAATCATCAAAGAATTGTATACGAATTCAATAATATTTAATCCCACCCACGTCCCACAAAAAGATCGATCTCCATTCTCCACACATTTGCAGCATTAATGATAATGTATCATGTAGTATAGTAAATTAATGCAAAACTAACCTTTCATTCATTTTTCAAATAAATATAAATATAGGTGGTATTTATAATTGTATATATTACCCATTGTAATTATTTTGAATATGAAATATGGTTTTAAATTATTATTGCAGTTTAAAAAAAACTGATATAATAAATCGTTATTGGTTTTGGATTCAATAGACGTCATTAAGTGACTGTATAAATACCTAGATAAAAATAAGTGTGGGTAGGTATTAATAATTAATCAATAAGTCATGAAGACAATTATTTGTAACCGAGATATTAATATTGATAATTTCAATAATTTGAAAAACATAAATAGGTACACTCAATAATTAATCATTAAGTGATAACAGTACCTAACAAAAATAACAATCCGGGAAGTTCTCTGCTGGAAAGTAGGATTTTGGTGTACCTCGTCATTAAATAGCCTGCATACTGAAATGGATATTGGAACTTGGAAGTGTTAAATTTGAATTCAAAGATTATTCGCTATAAATTTATACTTATACTTATGAAAAACAACTATTCTGAGCGGAGACATTGTATTTAGCGTTAATTTCGAAAGATATTTTATACTTTATTTATATTACTATCAGTAATTTGTTTTTCTATTTTAGTATACAAATATGTCTAAAATAGTAAAATGTATTGGTAATTATATACATTTACTTGATACATTTGGAATAAATGTGACCGCAATAGTCCAGCCGAATTTTGACCCGACAATTTGGATGATTTGGTTATTTGAAGTCGAATATAGTCTGACTGTAATTAGGTTGAACTATTTTTTGCTCAATACATGTATTTATTATTAATGTAATTAACTTATAAGTCAATACCGAACTTCCATACAGAACGGTGTGACTAGGATTACAACAGAATAACAAAAAATAAGTCGTAATTGTCAACTATAAATAATTTTATCAACTATAAAAACGTGCTTTTGACGAATTATATAAAAAATTGAACTTCACAATTTTAAAAAAATGTAAGTAGGTAGGTGGTACCTATGTATTTTCAATATTTATTAATACACTTTAAGGAAAACAGAATGCTTTATGAACGATTTACCCATTACATTTTCAGAGTTTTTCTTTAGAAACAAGACTCTCATTAATATGAATCGAAAAATAACATTTCAAATGATATATGTATTATGCATTAACGAATAAATCAAAATATTAGAAAAATTTCAAGTCTGTTAATTTATTAAATTACAAAAAATAAACCAAATCGGTTTTGTCGAAAATTTGTTGAGTACAGATTTCCATTTTTTTCGTATATTTTATTTATTTTTTAGTTTTCCCGATTATTTTGATAATTATTAAAAATTTATGATTTTTCTTCGATTACAAATAAACACAATTTGCTACTAGAAATCATACTCAAAGTTGAAGATTGAAATACATTTTATTGCACTTAAAATGTGACATCAGATACAGTCACACAGAAGAAAAAACATACACCATTGTAAGACCAAAACAATAATTATTACTCCGCTCACAATCTAAAATATTCACAAATTATTGTATCAATTATTATAGGAATAATAATAATAATAATATTCTAGGAATATTAAGGACAATATATTGAACTGGGTAACATTTTATGATCTGTGTTTTTAGACAAAATTAATAATAATGATAATAATAATTATATTTATTTCTTACAAAAAAAAAACAGTAAATATACTAAATTACATGATTTTTTTTTATCTAATACATTATTTATATACATTTAATTAGGTGCCAAATAGTGGTAATGAATCATAGATATTATAAAAGTTATAAATTATAAACAATAAATAATTAATTAAATTTTCATTATTATAAAAAAAAATTACAATATGAAGAAATTATAAGACAAATATTTGGTTGCGACTATAATATAATATTTTATTAATTATTATTTAAAAAATTAAACTAAATTCGATTTTAAATTTAAGAGTTATTCTGAACATGATCATTGTATATTTAAAAATAAAAATATTTTGTATACTATGTAAATTATGAAAATATATAAGCCCCTTGCAGTGGCAAAGGGTCAAAGCCAACTAAAAAAAATGTATCATAGTATAATTGTATTAATCACTTTAATAAACAGATTAAAAATGAAACATTACACTAAGGACTATAGGCTTAGTAGTAAGCTCATTATTTGTAAATAATATTAGTTTGTTTATTTCAATAGAAATCACAATGAATAATAACAAGTAACAACACAATTAATAATTGGTGTGCACTCGTCGAGAAAATTATATTCATTTTCTCCTACATTAAAATAGGTTTGATTTTTATTTCCGACAAAACTATTTTCTTTTTAAATTATTGTTTCCTGTAGGTAGCTAATATAGAAATATAAAAACAAATAATTATTGTGAATACTGAATCATTACAATCACATTTCAATAAAAAAAATTATATATTTGATTCATTTATAAGTATATATACAAAATATCAAATATAATTGTAAAATATAATAATTTTCTAAACATTAGTTATATAATGGTGTAATCTTTATTTTTGACTATTAAATTAAATGTTTAGTAAAAATAATTCTTTAACCACTATTAATACAGAGTACAGAGTACAGACAACATTATAATTGCACCTAGAAGTCTAATTATTTTTATATAGAAAATATAAGTTTATAGTACTTTTTAAATATCAAACAAATTATCCGTAGAAGCATTATATTTAGTTTTAAATAAGATCATTTTGTTATGACATTTATTTGGTGTTAGTCATTTTTTTTATGCCTTTGTTTTAACTGGGACACAGGCACACAGCTCTAATAATAATCTAATAATATAAACCATGTATAGTTCAAGCTGTTCAAGGGTTTCGTTTTAGCTTATACATTTTACATTAAGTTAGTTGATAATTTAATTTGAACTCCACTCCGAATAGTGAATATTTTAGATTCTGAGTGGAGCGATGAATGTATTTATTTTATAATGATGTGTTTTTATTTTTTAGTCCTAGATTTTTAACTTTTGGGTGGTTTCTGGTAGAAAATTGATACAGTTTGCATTTTAGGGGTAAAAAGTTTGAATTTTCCAGTGCTTTTCAAAATAACCAGGAATTACTAAAAAAAAAAAAAAAAATAGGAAAATTTGGAACATTTTAATACTGTTCTAATAAAAGGTTACCAACAACTTGATAGTCTTCACTCTGAAAATTTTTTCTTCGTATACAATAATTTATCATTGAATTCAAATTTAACACAATATCCATTACAGACTACCTATATAATGATGTTAACAGTGACCTACTCAAAAACGAGGTATACCGTATACACTCCATAGTAGTGGACACCTATAAGAGTGCTATTACCTGTAATAGGTATAAGTATATATAAGTACTTGATGATTGTTTTATGCTTTAAATTCGATGAAATTTGTTTTAAGTTTGATTATAAAATTTAAATTGTACCCACTACCCTTTATTCAGTAACACAAGGTAATACAAATCTAAGACACGATTTTTTAAGAGGGCACCAACCACCTGCATACGTTCTCTCTGTCTTACAAACGCATAACATAGCAAATCGTACGCTCAGCAGTCATCAGATCACGTTAAGCCAAACAATTTTAGTTTAAAAATTAGGGTGAATTGACCTCTTATAAAATGTATGGAATCTAGGGTATATTATAGGACTTTTATTATATTTTAATTTTAAAGCGAGTTATGAACGTACATGTCCCCAGCCCCACCCATCTAACTTTTCAAAATGGGGATGGAACACGTGTGTGTTTGGCAGATTTTTTAGTGGGCACCCGTAGGTATCTGCCATGCCCGGTAGGGGGGATGGCGGCACTTATTCTCCGGACACCGTGACTTGCCCGAAGAAAAATGCCACCCGCGACCGGGAATCGAGCCGGCATCGGCTGCGTCGCAACCGAAGCCTTAGACCACTCTGACACTCCGTCTCCCTCAGATATTTTATCTTATAAAAAAGTACCTTTAAATAAATTTAATTTCTTGTTTATTTCATACGCTATATCTCTATATACAGACTATACACAGTAGTACAAACACAGTGTATATATATATATATATACATTATATTATACCGTTAACGATTCTAATGTATACGATTCAATCTAAACAAAACATAATCATTGGAATTTTCTGGAATAAAATCAATTATTGTGGTAATAATTTTTGATTGAAGCCACACAACATAATCAGATAAATATTTATACCATTAACTCCTTTTATTTATACTATCATCAAAAAGTCAATGCCTTATTTATTGTAAAAGGTATTTTTAGAAGATTGTTAATGTTGTTCTAAAAACCAAGGTCCAAGAGTATAATATATGGGTACAATAATTAATTATTCAAACAATTCATATTTTAATAAGGTAAACAAAAGAAAGAAACATACAAGTATTGTTAACTGACTATGTATACCTACATTTTGTCTATAAACTTTAAACTATATAAATATAGATAAAATAATATAGTGTATATTGCAGCCTGTATGGTACTCTGTATATTACAATATATTAATATATATAAATCGAAAAAAGTATTAGGAAGTTCGGACATGGTTGATGGGTTTGGACTATGTAAAAATGGTAAATTTAAAACCCAATATTTCCTATATAACGCTCGTGAATGTAATAAGGTTAAGATACTCTGTCCAGAATCCTTTGGGCAATATGAATTGAATCAAATTATTACTAACAAAAGAACGGGCATGTATAGTATAATATATATGCGGCACAGTATTTTTTTTTTATTTTTTTTTTTTTTTTTTTTTATTTATTCAAGGTTTCGACAACTGAGGTAATTTGGTCTGTTACTGTGGGGGAGGGTACTGTTAGTTTTCACTGCTAACTTTAACAGTATGCGGGGTGCCGCCACTGGGTGACTTCCCCCTCCTGTTTACCAAAAATCATCCCATTTACTTATTGTATCACTTGTAAATACAGATTGTAAATATATTATGTTTGTTCAATAAAAAAAAAAAAAAAAAAAAAAAACTTTAACAGTCGTAAAATGGTCAATTAGTTATTCATCATTCTTATAAATAATAATATTAGGTATTCCCCACCCCCTATTGATTTGGTTATTGTGCACAATGTCTAAGAAATGTATACTTTTTCCTATTTTGACTACTAAAATCAAACATTTTTTAAATAATTTCCCGTGATTTCTTACTTGGCCCGTAACATATAAATATAATACTTATTGATAAAACAATTTTTTTTTTGATCTTAAGCCCGGCGCTTATGGCCATTAGCTGTTTTGGTTTTGTAGGTTTTTATGTTGGTAGGGGAAGGAACACGTGTGTTTTTGATTGGGCACCCGTAGGTATCTGCCATGCCCGGGTGGGGGATGTCGGCACTTGTTCTCCGGACACCGTGACTTGCCCGAAGAAAAATGCCGCCCATGACCGAGGTATTGAGCCAGCGTCAGCTACGTCGCAGCCGACGCATTAGACCGCTCGGCCACTCCGTCCCCCGATAAAACAATTAAAAATATATCCAGTTATAGATTCGTTGTTCTTTGAAAACATTAAAAAATATTATTTAATTAGGTTTCTGCAATATTTAAAGAATCGAATTATATTATTAGACCAATATGGCAGTTTAATTGTAGGTATGGTATATATTTTATTTAGACCTAACATAGTGTTACTAAAACCTGCAGCGATATCAACAACTGTAACTAATCATTATACTGATATTATACATTATACTAATATTTTAATTTACGTATAATAACCGTACAGATTTTTTTTTTAATCATCCATTAAATTAATATTAACTATTAAGTATACCTATATCTAAATTGTTTATCTTTATTTTCATTAAAAAATCTTTTTATATTTTTAAAAGGTTTATACTGTGTATAAAGAAATGTTAGCATTCACGTGGGTATACCTACCACATATATAGTGCATAAATTGAATACACAAGTTCCTTGGCCTTATTATAATCATCAATCACTGACGAATTATAGCCATGCTATTAAACTAGCATAGTAGTATACCAATATATAGCACATACAATAACATTTGAAATACTTTTACAATGATCAATGATTCATCAAAAGGAAATTAAACACTTCAATATAATAAAATAAAGCATCAAACCATTAACTTCGTCTGCGTATTTATCAATTATATTAAAATGTTACATTTTGTATAAAATAATTCTTTCTGCCAAAACTAATCAATTTTGAACGGTTGTCAAAAGAATATAATCGAGTTACTGCAGCTGAATGCCGATATCATAAATATATCCATAATATCGAAAAATAATGTTAAAACTAAATAAATATAACTAAAAGTATGTCAATATGCCAACATGCCATATATGATAAGCATGAAATATTTCAAATATTTGTAGTTAGTAGGTATAAATATTATACTAGATTATAGACGAATAATAATTTTATATCGATACCTATACATGCGAAGGTAAACAATAATAAATGTTTAACATATTAATAAATGTATTGTAAATTGTGTATACGTGTGAAATGTGTATGTGACGTACTGACGTTAGTCTTTGGGGTAGGTATGCAGCTTATAGGGACCTGGTGGCAGTATTGTGCTAAACTGTTCCCATCCGTTTCTTGTCTTTTTGAACGGAAATAAGGTATGCACTATAATCACTATACTATATTACAGTTTATTATACAATATCCACTATTTGTTAATATAATAATAAGTGGCATTATAGTGAGGTGACGGAATGCAATTTCCGGGGCACCAAATTCTGAGTCCATCAAAGGGGCGCCGGTACAATCATACTCATGCTAATTTCCAATGGTGGGCAAGTTAATGAAAATAATTAACTGTGGAAAGTTAAGTTAATTCATTTAAATTGCCTTCAGTTAAGTTAAAAGTTAACAAGGAAAAAAAAATTAACTAGATAAGTTTAAAGTTAAGAGAGAAAATAAAATTAACTTATCTCAGTTAAAAAAAAGTTAATTTTTTTGAAGGTACAATATTTTTAAGTCATATACTACCATAGTATTTTGTTATACAAAAACATTTACCAAGATATTTAACACTGTGTAAAAAATTAAATTTTTATAAAACATAATTCGAAAATAAATTACTAAAATCGTAAAAAAGTCGACCAATCGGTATTGCCTAGTTGATTACGCATGACTCAAAAATTAAATTATCTTAACTAAATGACAATGTTAATTAACTATAAAAAGTTAAGTTACAACAATAAACATTTTAACTGAATAAGTTAATAAGTTAAAAACAAAAATAATTAACTAGTTAAGGGGATTCGATACCGTGATTTTCTGTTTTTGTCTAACACACGCGTGACATAGTATTTTAGACGTGTTTTTTGCCAAACATTCCAATTGATCTATTGAAGCGATAAGATTTCTGAAAACAGATTTTAATTTGTCGTCAAGTCTACTTGAAATCGACTTTCCCACATTTTTGATTTTTTGATTTAAACTTCTCCAAAAATTGAAATAACAGAATTTTTAAATACTCTTTTTGAATATGACATTTAAAAAAATTTAGGGGATAATATCAAAAATGTGGGAAAGTCGATTTCAAGTAGACTTGACGACAAATTCAAATCTGTTTTCAGAATTCGTATCGCTTCATTAGATCAATTGGTATGTTTGGCAAAAAACACATCTAAAATACTATGTCGCGCGTGTGTTAGACAAAAACAGAAAATCACGGTATCGAATCCCCTTAAGTTAAAAAGTTAAAAAAAAATTAACTTTTTAACTTAACTTTAACTTTTCAACAAGTTAATGCCCACCTTTGCTAATTTCTTCATAGTTCATAGAATAGTCATACAAGTATACAACTATAGGTATTTAGGTAGGTACTATATACTACTATACTATATCGCTATATCACGAAATTTGATGGTAAATATTATAACCTTTATAAATACCCAAGTATTGAATAATGAATACGAAGCCAAGGAGGATATTATGTACAATTACGTAAATACGAATAATTAATAATTTATGATTACTGATTAGGCGTATTAGTTAGGTATTTTTAAATTTATCTACGCACGTAATTAAAAAAATTGTATCATAAATATTAATGTGCCTATTAGCATTTTTAGAAACAAACAACTCATCTATACGTATAAATAAATAAGTTAGTGAACACTATCCTCGTTGTATAATAATAAAATCGTGATTAAAGGGAAAGTATTTAAGTATATAATATGATTCTATGGATAAATGGGCTAGTATATAATATTATAATATTATAATTTATAACCTTAAGTGATTATAACGTTATGATACCTAAATATGTAAAAACTGTACTTTTATTTCGCGTAAATAAATATTTTTCCTGATTTACATATTATATAATTAATACTTATTTATATATATATACAATATACCTATAAAATATAATTTATAATTTATTCTTATTCTATATTTTTTCAATTGTACCCATTATGTATATAACGCATATTATTCACATCAAACATGTTATAACACCATAACATTCCGGGCAAGACTACTAGAACCGTATGACTAATAAGAGCATTTGAACACCACATAAAAGAAGCGGATTTTTCCAAGTGCATGGAAATCAAACCACATTATATTAGTAAATTTGTAAATGATATATTATAGAACCGCAATAAACCTCAATAATATTAACTATTGGTCCTATATTTACAGTAATAATATATTAATACGTTTATGCATATCTAATTATAATTTATATCATATTGAGAGGCGCTAAATAACCGACGGAAATCGTTGAAGGCATATGATAATAATAATAACCCAATTCGCAGTGACCAATTATACAAGATTAAGTTGTGGGAGAGATGATACCCCGAGACGTAGCGATGATAATAACTTGATGACGCCTCCTCCATTTACCATACATCGACACATCGTACACATCGTACACATATTATTATTATTATTATTCTATATTATACAGTATATTATTATGTATTATTGTAATATAATTGTAGGCATCGAGTTTTTAAAATTTCACAGGGTGCTACTAAAATAATGCCTATAAAAATACCTATAGGTACCTACAAACATTTAAATTAAAAATATTATATTTAAATTTAGTTAATAATTATAATTTCACTATTTCTGCAAAGCACAGTATATATTAAGTGTAGACGCATAATGTACCATAGAATATTATTTTATGGTGACGTCGTCCTCAAAAAGTTCTATAGTCACGACACTGCAGATTATATTATATTAAGAAATAAAGGCGCGGCTTACCTTGCAAGGAGGCGTGAGAAAAGTGCCACTCAGGCTGGTGACAGGCGCCCGTCGTCCGGTCTCGGTCAGACAGCCGTCGGATTTGGAGTCTGGACACGCGGACGCCGGAGCGGCTTGGTGATCGGCCGCGGGCCCGTCGCCGTGATGATGCCTCTTCTGCTGCAGATCTGGCACGGACGCGGTCTTCTCCAGTTGTTGCAGTTGGACGACGGCCCGATACGCGTTCGGGGACGACGGCGTTGACCTGCAGGCCACCGCGGCGGGCGGCACGAGGCCGTCCAGAGCGGCCAACCGGTCACACATCGCGCGCGCAACCGGCAGCCGCAGCAATGAGTCACGAGCTAGCGAGTAAGCGACAAGCGGGGCACAGCCGCGGCCACGGAGCGCGGCGACAATCCCTGAGCGCCACCGACAACTTTGACAGTGTGACCACGGCCGTTATACGATATACGTGTTTAGTCATAACGTTACGGTGAGTAAACACAATAATTTACCCCATCCCCCTCCAACGACCACACATTTTCGACAGCTTTCCGGGTTTATTATTGTTATTGAGAGTACGCGCTTGCTCCTTTTCCGTTACTCGGTTAACCGTATGCGACTGATATCGGTTCAAACGCGAATCGCTGCTCAGCCGTTAGTATGGGGTAGTTCCGTCGAGCCTATTCGCGATCTTTTGGTAGCAGGTCACACTGCGGTCCACGGCTCCTCCCTCAGTTCGATCCCGCGCCTGTTTGATGACGACCAGACATAACGTCATAACGAGTCGTGTACGACCCCCTTATTGCGTGAGGTCGACCCTTACAATATTGTACAGCTGGTTATGCGTGCGAGGTTTTGCAATACACACATAATGTATATTCTGCAGAGAGCAGCTACCTATGTAATAATAATATGCTAATATATGAGGTCTCCTTTAACGCCAAAACAGCTTACTATAATGTATAACTATATCATTTTAGGGACATTTTGTTTGCGTGCTACTCAGCTGGTATATGCTGGAATTGAATATTTACACACCAGTGCCAAAAATCAAAACAATTTTTTTGAAAGACCAATTCTATTTTAAGACATTATATTCTATGTACATAATATAATAATAATAATTAATATGTTTTCTTTAATAAAACATAATTTGTTTTTTGTGGCGAAATGTGTTCAGGCCTTGTGCATTTATGCACCTATATAGTGTCCTCGAATAAATACGATAATGCATATTTCATAAAGGCATAGATAATTACTGATTATTAGGGTAGGTTTCGGATTTATATGCCCTAAAAACAAACAAAAAATACTCTAAAAATAACCAAAAATATTTTTCAATGCCTTTGAAAAATAATCAAATATATTTTTATGGTGACGCAACCGATAGGAAAACGATGATTTAACTTTCAGAATTTTTAACATTGTATATATTGTGTGTGTATAATATATAAACCAAACTAACAGTAATTCAAAAACTAAATACCAAACTTAAAAAGGCACAATATATAAACAGTATATCCTAAACAAATGCGATAGCGATGTATCTCCAACAGGCAGCCCAACTGACCAATTAAGTTGTTATTTGGTTGAGTCCTAAAACACCACATTCGATAATCGCCGGAGAAAGATACAAACATAATCGCTTTCATGTTATAATATATTACCTAACCTTTGATATTTAGTACGGATGAAAAATACTTAAAAACTATTTTAAATTTTAAATCAATATTTTTATAAAATTAATATTTAGAAATTTCTTAATTTACCTATAATGTACAATGTATAAATATATGCACTAAAAACCAATATAATGTCCTGCAGAAAATGCTATACAAAAAGATATAACAACGGGAAAACATCGAACAATTTAAAATTAAAGTTTCACCTTCGAAGTAGGTATCTGTTACACAAAACCTAACCAAACCAAACGTACTTGGAATGCATTGTCCTAGAGCACCCAAAAAGTTATACACTTTGCATTGAAATCCGGGACTTGTATAGATTATAATAATATTATTTCAACAGATTTTCTGGTCCATGTATAACATCGTTATATAAAATATATGTTTGCTTTGTGTGAATATTATTATATTATATGTGAATGTGTCGAGACTCGAGAGTCGAGAGTAATTTTAAAATAGATAATTAATATTATAAGAATATACATATTATTATGATGATGATGACAGTTACTGTTCTACAGTAACACTGTACTGAAGTCGGAGATGTTTGTTTGCATTTTTATTTTACAGTGGCATTTCTATAATTGTGATAGCAATATTATATATGTACCTATACCGAGTACTGTGCAGACGACCTCTATACGGTAATAATTGCCTGTGTGCGCGTAATAAATTATGAATTTTGTAATTAAACAGAGCGGTCGCTCGTTGCGTGCACGTTACCTATTATAATATTGAGGGTAAACAATGGTGACTGTCCAGCAAACACAGTCTTTCCGCACCGGTACACTTAGTCATAAACTCATAACTCATAATAATTCGCGGGAGCCATATAATATTAACATACGCAAAATAACAACACCAACTTTGAAAAACTAATACAATCTTTAAAAACATAAGTATACGAATTGGAAATGTATACTTACTTACGTTTGTCTATTGGAAAGAAGGGGGCTGTCATGTTCAAATTCAATTTTAAGTATATATAGTCCGGCCCACGAGAGTCCATATGTCCAAACGCGTCCGTCTCTGCGTATCTGCATGTTGCCGAATAGTGGGAATGACATCATGGTGGGCGAGAAAACAGATGTCGCGTATTACTATATCGATGCGCGGTTTACGTATGGACTCTCGTGGGCCGGAGCATAGGCATGTAAGCTTGCGTGTTAAATTTAAAATATCGTAGTATCCTACATTATTTTTGTGTACGGATACCTATTGGCTATTACTCGATAATATAACGATGTATCATGCATCAGAGCCCAGAGGTATCTTCTCTATATATATCGTGGGAGGTAACTACCACTTAGTACCTATACCTATAACTTATTATATACCCATAATTTAAAACATATCGATATTTCACACTAAATATAATGAGGGCGTTATCTATATTTTCTTCTATTTTTATACTTTGTATATTTTAACATAAATAATACCTGCAGAAAACAGGGTGAAATTAATACACTTAATCGGAAAAAAAATCCCCGGTCCAAAACGTTAAACATCGATTTTATATTTTTCGAATGATTATTAATTATTTTAATAATAAAATAAAATATATATATGTATAATGGTTTATGGTACTATATGATCGAATAGGTCCTATATTTAAGAATTAAGAGTATTTTTCCTATAGTAATAGTAGGTATAAATGTATAATGACGTACTATGTAAGTGCAAGATTTGAGATAAGTACCTGATAAACTTGTTCCGATTTTGTGCAATCACGATATATTGCAATTGACCAGTGTCATAGAGGGCATATTTGCTATCGTCCTAACTCAAAAAAGAGGGTTTTGGTTTTCGAACATAGGAATACCTAATAATCATCTAAAACGAAAAAAACATTTTGGTTAAAACTGTATTTTTTTTATTGAAAATGTTATTTAATTAAGTTTTAGTCAATGTAAAACAAATTAAATCAAATATTTATATATAAAATGTAAATCATATAAGTTCATTCAAACATAATATAAATGTAAAACCAGGGGCGTACTCAAGGGGGGGGTTCGTGGGGTTTGAACCCCTCCCATGACCTTACTAACCGATACACTTTTGTGCGTTCTTGTTTATACATAATATAATTCACAGGAGCAATTTTCTAAAAATAAAATTTTAAGAAGGGAAAAAATAAACAAATATATTTATTTTCAATTTTATATCAACATGCATTATACAACGATTACAAGCATTATCTGTTAAGAACTGTATTATGATAACGAGATAAAATTTAAATCAAACATACAAGGTATATTGATAAGTTGTCGTCACTCTGGACCCCTACGTATACGTATACACTCTTGATTGAAAATATTACCACAGTTCTATAGTCACCAGAGCGCGCTTCTTGTCCTACGAAGGCCTGTATATTCATTCTGTTAAATGCAAAATGTCTTAAAACTTCAGAATTAAAATGCTAATATTTTTTAAAATTGAAGTCAGTATTTACAAAAACATTGAATCGTAAAAAGTTTTTTTTTTTAATTGAGTTGGTATAATAAATTTGGAGCCTGTAATTATACATTACATTTGCATTTTATTCATTGGCAATATATTTTTCGAGTAGACATCAATTAAAAAAAAATATTATGTATAATTTAGTCACTTCTTTGGATATTTGCATCCTTCTTAAAATCTTTAAATTAAATTAAAACTATTATGATTCTACTCCTAATTCTAATAGTAGTCTGGTAGAGTGGAGTATTATTTTCTAGTGCTCATAAAAAACTAAAAACATGTTTAAAATATTTTGCATATTTTATTTTATGATTATTTCAAAATTAGTTTGAAGTTTATAAGATAACTATTATTGAATAATATTATAATATAAATAATATACCTAATCATAAAATAAAATATGCAAAATATATATATTATTTATATTATAATATTATTCAATAATAGTTATCTTATAAACTTCAAACTAATTTTGAAAAATTGTTTAGTTTTTTTGGTGTTTTCTTGTTTTTAGCACCTTGCTCATTTTTTTCTTTTGTAAGTGAATATCATTCTTGTTTTGACATAATGCGTTATGATATATTTGGTTAATATTTGACTGTGTATTGAACGGTTGTCAAAAAATTTGCTTATATATTTCTTCAATAAATATAAATTAAGTTAGAAAAATAAACAGTGAAAAATGTATATGTAGTTTTCAAATTGAAATGCAACATTAAAAACATGATCTTTTACCGGGACAGCTAGTTATATTTATTATATTTAGATATTTTACACTATAATCTAGTACAGTATTTCTCAATTTTTTTTGTCGTGAGGCTCCCTAAATTTAATGTAAAACTGTCAAGGCCCCCTTAATCAAAATTATTAATTGTTTTTTTCTAAATTAGGTATATACTAAAATTACTTGTACTATTTCACACAGATTAATTATTAAAATGTATAGTAATTTAATATACTTTTGAAAAATATTAATGATAGTATTAAAATTTAAGTATTTATTCTTTTTCCATAAACGCTTAAAGTCAAAAAATAAAAATAAAAATAAAATAATAACATTTTTTACTTGTGTGCCTGGAAGTTCTAAGTACATTGAACCCTACAATAATCTTAAAAGAAAACATGAACACGTTAATCAATCGGAATCGGAATATTGTTCTTTAAATAAACATTTTT